CTTGTAGTGGGTTTCTACAAGAAGTGCTTTCTTGGGTGCAAGAAAGTGTCTATCTTGAGTGTTGAAGTGTGTGCATGTGTGGTATGCTTGTATAACTTCTTCATTGAGATAGTGGTACAAATCTTGATCAGGTTATGATTGAGGACTGGATGTAGGTCACATGTGGAGTGGCTGAACTAGGATAAAACACTTTGCACTCTTCTCTCATCCTTATCTCTTACATTGAATAATCTTTAATTGAATGTTAAAATGGCTAGTCTTGATTAATATGCTTGTATGATTAAAAATGGTTTAAACTGAAACATAACCACAACATATTAGTTGTTCTTAAACCGAATTCAATAAAGATTAAGCAAGAACTCATATAGAAGTCATTCCCATTTACGAGAGGTTCAAGAAACTTCATTGAAATTTTGTATTAGAAAAGTTTTAATGGAAATAAAGATCCTTAAACTCTAATAAAAATTTTAAGTTTCATTGAATCCAATTCACCCCCCCTCTTGGATTGCGTCATTCTTTTCTATCAGAAGAAAGCCATTTACTAAACATCTACATGTGTTTGGATGTATCTGCTACATATTCTTGATCAAAAGAGGCAAAAGCTTGAAAACAAGACAATAAGAGGAATATTCTTGGGATATAACACACAATCAAAAGGCTATCAAGTTTATAACCTTTCAAATAAAATAAGCTCGTCATTAGTTGAGATGTTGAGGTTGATGAAAATGCTTCTTGAAATTGGAAAGAAGAAAAAATTGTTAAAAGCAATATTTTATTTCTAGTGCAACAATCTCAAGAAGCTTAAGAAGTGGCAGAAGATTCAAGTACGTTTTCTCTACCTCCATAACATTAACGAGATTCTTTACTAGAGTCTACTTTACTAGAGTCTACTAGTGTAAGATATTTGGTGGACATATATGAAACTTGCAATATGGCCATGGTTGAACCTGACTGTTACAAAGAAGCATCAAAGGAAGAAATATAGGTCAAGACTATGGAAGAAGAGATTAAAATGATCGAATAAATAAATACGTGGGAGCTTATAGACTTCCCACATGGAGAAGATGTTAATGGAGTAAAATGGGTATATAAAATAAAGCTCCTTCTTAATGGAACTATACAAAATTACAAGGCGAGATAGGTCGCTAAAGGATACTTACAACAACTTGGAATTGATTACAATAAGATGTTTTCTCCAATTGTTCACCTAGATACAATTAAAGCTTTAATAGATCTTGCAACATAAAAAGGATGGAACATTTACCAACTGGATGTCAAATCTGACTTTCTAAATAAAGTGCTCGAAGAAGTGATTTATGTAAAGCAACCACATTCATCAACAAAGGCAATGAAGGAAAAATGTTGAGACTGAGAAAAGCCTCATACGGCTTAAAGCCAACTCCTCGAGCATGGTATAACAGAATTGATCACTACTTCACTAATTAAGGATTCACAAGGAACAAAAGTGAGCCAATAGTGTATATCAAGACACAAGGTCAATATGTTTTCATTGCCTCCCTATACGTTGATGACCTTATCTACACAGGAAACAATATGGAGATAATGAAAGATTTCTAAGAAGATATGATGAAGACATTTGAGATAACTAACCTTGCTTTGATGAACTACTTCCTCAATATGAAAGTAAGACAACAAAAAGAAGAAATATTTATCTATCATAATAAATATACTGAAGCTCTACTAAAGAAGTTCAAGATGTATAACTGTAAAACATGTTGTTACACTAGAAGCAAATGCATCAGGCTATAAGGGTTTAATTAAGAGTCTACCATATCTCACAGCCACACGGCTAGACATTATATATGCCACAAGTCTTTTATTAAGATTCATGCAAAAGCCAAGTCACATTCACTAAGAAGTTGGAAAAAGAATTTTAAGATATCTACAAGATATAAGAGAGTTTGGCATATGGTACAAAACCATGACCAACTCAAGGATGATTGACTACATGACAGTGAATGGGCAAGATCAATGGATGACATGAAAAGCACGTTAGAATATGTCTTTCTCTTATGCATCAAAGAGGCAAGTAATTATAGCACAATCTACAACAAAAACAAAATACGTAGTAACTTCTGAAACTACAAGTCAAGTAATATGGCTACAAAGAATACTTGAAGAATTGGACGAATAATAAGATAAACTAACTACTATCTACTGCAACAACAAATCGACAATAGTAATGGCGAAGAGTATTCCAATCCATCATCAAAGAACGAAACATATTTCCATTAAATATTACTTCATTAGAGAAGTAGAGACTATTAAACAAATTCAACTAAGTATTACACAACGAAAAATCAAATAGAAGAATATTTATAAAGACACTACTAAGAATGAAGTTTGAATAATTACAAACTATACTTGGAATTATCAAAATTTGCATCTAGGAAAAATGATTAAAAAAATGTTTCAAATTCCTAGATATTTCACACTTCCAAAAATTTCTAGAAATTTTGAGAACTTTCATGAAACATGTTTCTAGAATAACAATCTGATTGTAATAGAAAATCATAGAAACATATAAAATATTTTTTTTATTCTTAACCGCCTTATATATGACCGTGAAAGAAGGCTATATTGGCATGCAGGAGATGTAACCGAGTCTGAAACAAGCAAATATACAATAAGTACCTCCTTCAAATAAAAGCTAGCTCCATTCACCTTCTCCATTCCTCTGTTTTCTATTATTCCTCTGTTTCGATCAATCACTCTCCAAAACCAAGAGTTCCAACCACAATAGCTTAGAAACACACCAATTTATTTGTGACTACGAACCTTCACCTGAGGTGTCCATGAAGGCACAAACAAACCTTTCTCCATTGTCTTTCCAAAAGAATCTATTTTGGTAAGAATTGCAAAAGGATTCTCATTTGTGGGCTCAAGGTAAGCAGCACTAGCTGAATTTACTTGGTGCTCATCACTTCTTTCAAAACCCACAAGAACCTTTGACAACTCAATTCTTAACCCCAAGCTAGCTCATTGATTTGTTGTTGAGAGAGTGTTCTACCACTTCCAAAAGAAACACACAACACTTAACAAGGTGGCTGCTTGTCCAACCATCTTAAACACCTAGCTGACACATCAACTTCATTTCTTGACCCTTTCTGTGTAATGGGTCCCACAGGGTACAATTTGATCATCCCATCTCCAAACTCTCCTAAGGCTCTTATAGCATGTGATTCCATTTCTAAGAAAGTGTTGATTAATATCACATGAGATACATCCGATGCTTTGGCACTTTGAAGAAAATGCTTGTAAGATACTAAAATTCACTAGGTCTATTTAGAGCCGAATCGGAAAGATCAACCCCTATGAGTGGTACACAACTTGGAAATTTTTAAGGTTCTGAAGTTCTGTCAGGTTCCTGTACTCAACCATAGCTTTGTAAAGGCAATGACAATACCATAGCTGAACTAGGTTAGTAAAAATAGGGCATGGCATTGAACTCCTTTGCAAATTCCATGGCTTGAGATGCAAAGTCATCAACCAACAAGAAAATTAAAGGGGCTTTGAAGGAAGAGTTTTATTAAGGTAGGCTTTGCAGGATTCTGGGGGTGGCCTAAGTGAGGGAACGATGCAAGCTACATGAAAAATTGGATGATGATTCACTAGTCTCTTACTGAACTCAGTTACTGGGACCAAGTGGGTGAAACCAGGACTTTAAATAATAGCTATGTGACTATAGATGTTTGCGTGTTCACAAAATCCTTATGATAAAAGAGTTTTCTTATAAATATAATATTGCAAACAGTTGGCTTTTTCTTATCCAATTTATACATATAAGAATTTACAAGTAGCAAAACTTAGATTCGCTTTCTGTTTTTGAATGTTATTTTCACAAAGCTTTCAAAGTGTAAGACTTGATGATCTAAGTGCATACGCACTAAACTGCATACGTGGTGTTCCACGTTTTATATATATATTGAATTACTGAAAGTAATAGTTTTACATGTTGAACGATGGTTCATTTTTAAAATAGTACAATATTCCTGATGGTGTAGGATGTGGCGAACTCCGATATCATGTCGAAACTATACAAATCATGTCCTAAAAAGTTAAATTATTTTCTCGGATTTTTTCCTCGTTCAAGTAGGCAGTTCCTTGTTGGTCGCATAGCATGTATTGACTAAATGATAAGAGTTGAATTTGAGGTGAAAAATAATATTAAAATAAAGAAAAAATATAACATTGATTAAAACATATTTTGTTTGGAAATTGCTACGAAGATCGAGGAGTTTCAATATATTTTTCTATGTAAATTTATAAATTTTTTTAAAAATATTAATTTAATTATAAAATAAATAATCTAAATTATATTTATAAAATAAAAAGTAAGATAAAATTATAGAGATTAAAATTATAAAATTTTAATAATATTATAAAATATTAAAAAATAATAATAATAAATAGTAAAAATAAAAAATTATTAAAATTACAATATAGAAATTCAAAAATTTAAGACAAAAAGACAAAAAATATACTTAACAAATTATTAAAATTAAAATATAGAAATTCCAAAATTTTAAGTGAAAAGATAAAAATATACTTAAAAAATTATTAAAATTAAACTATTTAAATATATAATAATATTATTACAAATAAATTAGAATATATAAAATAAAAATAAAATGACTAAATAATTTAAAAATTAAAAGAATAAAAAATATCATAAATATTATTTAAATAAATTATTAAAAATATAAAATATAAAAAATTGTACCGGTACCCTCTCAAATAAGATGGGTACTATAGAATTTTTTATTTTGTTTTAGTTCAGATATTACGGTTTCAGATATATTTTGGTTTAGTTCAGATATTACAATTTCATATATATCTCTTAATAAGGGTGCGTTGTTTGTTTTAGCTTTTAAAACATAATTGATTATTTTTGTTATTTTTAAAAAAATAAGCGATAAATAATTACAATTTTTCATGATGAAATTGGAGAGTACGTCATAAAATAAAAGGTGATCATATAGAAGAAATTACATTTTTCAAAATGTAAAATAAGAGTATTACATACTTTATTTATATTTAGAGAGAAATTACATGTATCTTGTATACAACCGGCAATATGATAATACAGTTGTATATAAGGTTGATCACATCTCAAACATTTAATATTATTATAAATAAACACAAAAATATAAAACATCTCATAGAAGTAGACTAGATTAGAAACAACATATACGCACCTTTACCGATACATGATCATAGTTCTAATTGCCAATCAACTTAGCTGCGAACTGAATTACAGTCTTTGAAGATAACCCTTCTTCTTGCATGGTTTCAGCAGCAACATTCTTCAACTTTTGCATTCTTCTACGGATTTCTCTGCCTTCTTCACCTTCAATTAATCTTCTTATAACCTTGCCAATTTCCTCTCTTCCCACCAAACCTTTTTCGTTAGCATTTGGCCTTAGTGCAACTTTTAGGGCGACATTTAACATAACAGCATTCATTCTCTGTTCAGCAAACAAAGGCCACGCTATAAGTGGTACACCGTTCATTATACTCTCAAGGATGGAGTTCCAACCACAGTGAGTTAAAAACCCACCAGTTGCATTGTGACCAAGAACTTCAACTTGAGGTGCCCATGATGGAACAACCAAACCCTGTTCCTTAGTCCTCTCAATGAATCCATCTGGTAAGAACCGTAAAGGGTCATCACTTTCAGAATTTAGGTAACCAGAATTGGCTGATTCACTTGGTGCTCTCACAACCCACAAGAATTTGTGGCCACTTAGTTCCAACCCCAAAGCTAGCTCATTCATTTGGTCTTGTGAAAGTGTCCCTCCACTTCCAAAGCTAACATAAACAACAGAATTAGGTGCCTGATTGTCCAACCACCTTAAACATTCAGACCCAGTTTTTACATCTCCTGATAATCCAGTTTGTATAATAGGTCCTACGGGGTACACTTTGGGGTAGCCATAGCCTTCTTCATCCAATGCTCTTATAGGCCCTTCTTCAATGCCTTTGAAGCTATTAACCAAGACCCCATCAACTGCATGGAGTTGTTTGCATTTTTGAAGAAAGAACTCATACATTTGGCTGGTTCGATCCTGAACCGGTTTTGGCAAATCGTACCCATAAATAGGAACACAGCCAGGAATTTCAATGGGTTCTAGTAGATCTCTAAACTCAGAAGAAACATTTTGATCCAACTTTGGTAGACACAAGCAAAAAGAGAGTGTCGTAGCCGATGTTGGGGCGTAAATGAAGGACAACATGTTGAACTCTTTAGCACAAATAAGAGCATCACTTGCGAAAAGATCAGTGACCATGGCAACTAGCCTTGAGCTTGAACTTAGGGTTTTCAAAGATTCACGGATAAAGGGGAGAGAGAGGGTCGCTGTGAGTTGAGCTTTGACTGCTATTGGACTATCTTGTGGTAGGTTAGTGGAATGAATTGATGGAAGAAAAGTGGAGTGAATGGATGAGGGCAAAGTTTGAATGATGGCTTTGGAGGGTTCAGAGGGAGAATCAAGTGTGGGAATGAGGCATGTGATTTGCAAGCCATTGGAGTGCTGAATTAGCCGTTTGGAAAATTCAATAATTGAAAGTAAATGGCTGAAGCCAGGGCTTGGAACAATTACTATGTAGATTGGCTTCTCCATTGGAATCAATGGTGCTGAGTGATTTTGGAGTTTTTGCATGGCAATAACTTATTTATGCAATGAGAAATGAGTGAATTTTTTATGCAAATCTCGGGAAGATAATATACTATATGGAATAATTAACTTGTAGGAGACAATGTCTTACAGTCTTGCCGCGCACGAAAGATACTGTGATGTAAGTTCAAATGTCACCATTTTAACATCTCATGATTTTTCAATTTTTCTATTGCTATTGTAATGAGTCAGCTGACAAAATGTAGATGAAGTTGTATAAATATTATTTTGAGTTATTATTTAATTAGAATTAATGTTTTATTTTTGTAATCTATAATCTATAACACATAAAGGTGATAATTTGATTTAATATATATATATATATATATATATATATATAGAATTAATGTTTTATTTTTGTAATTTATAATCTATAACACATAAAGGTGATAATTTGATTTAATATATATATATATAGATAATTTTACTCTTAAATTTTTAAATAATAAAAAATAATATTTAAAATTAACTATTCTTACAAATCCAAAATTTTAACTCAATTTTAAGATTTGAGAATCAAATACAATAATAGTTTATTTAAAAAAATATTGATAATTTTTAAAAAATATTGATAAAATGTCAAATTAAAATGTCTAATTAAAAGACAGTACCAAAAATATCAATGAACTTGTGCAAGCGTGGTAATATGAAATTCAACTCCTTCGTACACAAACAAAAATTGGTGTTCTAGTTATCATGATTGAGATTAATTTGTTCATTATAAATTTTTATTGTTTTTCTAGCTCTGGTTTGACTATAACCGGTAGAGACAAATGTCAACTTATGAATTTTCAAAAAGTGTCAATTTTAATAGGATGTCTTTACTCTATTGTAATATTTGGTGTACCATAACCTTTATTTTAAAAAAAATGTCAACTTATGATGAAAATGAAGAAAACATCAAATGAAAACTTCAAATGGAAGATTAGATGATGGAGAGGTGTTACCATCTTCAAGCAAAGGATGATAAGGTTGTTTATCTTAGTTCATAAATAGGAGCTTTTCATAAGCATTTAAAGAATATTTGAATATTAATCATATTTTGAGTTTCATATTGTGAGGGTTATTTCCTTTGTTCTTAGATAAGAATTTTATAGTGTTAGTTCCACCAACAGGTCACGATTAGGGTTACATTTCTTCTTTTTTTTATAATTTTGGTTTTATCGGCAGGTTGCAATTAGAGTCAAGTTCCCTATTGTTTCTTTACTTGTTTTCAAGATGGTCCCACGTTTTGAAAAACATATCATTTGACATCAGAGCTCTAACTTTTGAATTTAGGTGTGTGTATCTTTTATCCATTTATCTTCTTTAATGTAAAAACAAATGGATATTGATCTCAAGTTGTAAGTGAAGGAGTTTCAAATACAATTCCAACTCCTAAAGGAAAAATTAAATAATCTTGAATCTAGATTCATAAGTTTGAGGCAACACACTTATAAAGAGGAGTATTCCAAGGGGCATTATCAAAGGAGAAAAACAAGGGAGTGTGAGAAATCAAAAAGAAGCTAGATTGAAAGAATTAAAGAAATGGAGATGAGAGAAAATGAGTTCAAAGAAAATGAGAGGGGGGAAGAAACACAATGCATAATTTTATGTTCTAACCCATTGTTTATAAGTAATGTTTCTCTATTGAAGGTTTTCATGAAGTTGTTCCAAAGCAAATGAAAATCAATTTGAATTTTCAAAGATGCAAATTTCTCAAATAGTTGAAGAAACTGATTGTGGATTTAATTCTTCTTTTCAACCTAATCCTATAACTTCTTTTTTCTTGATGCCTAAATAAAAATTGCACATAAATATTCCATGGGCACAACATTTCAACAAGACAACATATCCATATGCAAAATAAGACATCGAACTTGATTTGAGGATGAATCACATTGAAGAGAGAAAGAATGATAAGAATATATCAAGGTCTACTGTTATCAAATATTTCTTTCAACAGATGGAAGGCTCAATAACTAGCTAGAAGAAAAACTACAAAGGTTAAAAATAATAATTTGAAGAGCCTAATGAGCCCAACACCAAATATTAAATAATGCTACAATGCAGTGGGCTTTACTAACCTTTTGGACTTAAAAGTTACTTAATCTCATTTTCTTAATTTTAATATAATTTTTGTTATTTATTTTAATATGAAATAAGTTCATGTGGTTTTTCATATTACCTAGGTTAATTTTAAGTGCTTTTAGGATTCTTAGTGGAAAACAAATGTTACTAGGACATACTGGGACTATATTACCTAGTGGAGTTTAGTGGAAAGTTATTACATGTAAATGATAGGTTGTTTATCTTAGTCTATAAATAAGAGCCTCTTACAAGAATCCAAGGTAGATCTGAATATTAATAATATTTTGAGTTTCACATTGTGAGGATTTTTCCTTTATTCTTGGATAAGAACTTTATAGTGTTGGTTCTACTGGCAGGTTGCAGTTAGGCTCACACTTTTTTTTTATAACTTTGGTTCTACCGACAGGTCATTATTAGGGTCAACTTCCTTATTATTTCTTTACCTATTTTCAAGATGGTCCTATGTTATAAAAATCATATCAAACTTATTCGTGATTAAATGTTTTTTTCTATGATGGGTTAGTCAACACTTATTATAGAATGTGTTGGTCAGTCTTGGACACCAACCATTCTATGTTAGGTGTTGACTTACCCATCATAAAAAGTTCACATTGTATGACAAGTAAATCGTCATTCATCATAGAATGTCTTATTATTACTCATGTTGAGAGCACAAACTCAATTTACACTCCATTGTTTTATCTTCTTCTCCAACAACTACTTTTGAGATGATTTCTAGTAAGCTCTTTGTGCACATTACCCATGCGATTTCAGTGACCAATGCGAGCAAAACACTCCAACGACCAAGGTGACCCATTCTCTTTCAATCGGTTAACCTTCATTTTAAGTTGTCCTTTGTGTGTGCACTCTTAGGTTTGAAGGTTTTCTTCTCCTTCTTCCATATGAATTTTAAGGTTTGTGGTGGATAATGTGGGTTTTCTTATTGCCTGTTTGATTCTCATTCAATTCCTCTTCAGTCTGACCACCTTTATGTTTATTTGTCCTTCACTCCCGCTCCCAAGTTTGAAGCTTTTCTTCTCCTTCTTCCATGGGTTTTACAGTTCACTCATTTTGGGTTTGTGCATTGATTACCTTATTGTCCACTAATTCTTTCTTGAATGAGAGAAATCGATACGGAAGCATCTTCCCTAACCATACCTACAAATAAATGTTAACCATCTTAGAATAAGTGATATGATAAAAGCACCACACTCACATTTTCTTTCACTTAAAAAAACATTGAAAACCTTGCCACCTCGTTGTGTTACTGGATTGAAGATTTCTTCAACTTCAAATCTTGTAGACTCATAATCATACCTGCGAACGAAATGAGAGGTTGCCTGCTCTTGATTTATTTCTATAGCATCCATTAATTTTTGACAATAACGTTTACCCATAGCAAGGTCGGCGTTTTCTTGACCTAACCTTTGAACAAAGTACTCCACTAACCTAGCATATGTGCATTTAACTAACGCAGTTATAGGCAAGTTTCGTGCACCCTTAAGGACTTTGTTGATTGTCTCGGACAAATTTGTTGTCATGTGTCCATATCAACGTCCTTCTTCGTCGTGTGCTAGAGCCCATTTTTCAAGAGAAATGTCATCAATCCAACGACAAATTTTAGGGCTCACATCGCGGAACCTTTCCAACCTTCTTTCAAATTTATGCTTGTTAGTTGTGTACCCTTCCATATATGAAGTTTATGTATCAATATTTATCAAAATAAACTGAACAGTAGACCATATAAAAAACAATAAGTCCTTTAGTACCTATGTGAATCAATTCTTCTTTAAGTTTAGTATTCTTGAATCGGTGGTTGAAGTTGCTGGCGATATGTCGAATGCAATATACATGATATGCACGAGGTGGTTGCCACCCTTGGGCATTCGCCATTGCTTACTTCATGCTTTGGTTTCGATCACTTATTAAACAAATACCTTGATTTTTCGTAACATAACAACGAATTTTATACCAAAACCATGACCAATCACTTAGTGTTTCTCCTTCTACTATTGCAAATGCAAGTGGTAAGACGCGAACATTTCCATCTTGTGTCGTAGCGATCAGTAGTGTGCCTCAATACTTTCCATACAAAAATGTTCCATCTATTTGTATAATGGGTTTTGTGCAGTTGAAGGCATCACATGTTGCTTTAAATGTCCAAAAAACTTGTCGAAATTGACGAAAATTTTGATCCACTATATGGTTTGACACGTACTCAGTCGTTTCAAGTTTATACACAGACTCAGGATAACATTCAACCATCCTATCCAACCACCTTGGTAGAAGATCATATAAGTCACTCCAGTCACTGTAAACCCTCTCAATTTCCTTTTGTTTGGCTTTCCATGCCTTCCAATACGATACCTTATAGTTGTATTGTCCACTAATTCTTTCTTGAATGAGAGAAATCGATACGGAAGCATCTTCCCTAACCATACCTACAAATAAATGTTAACCATCTTAGAATAAGTGATATGATAAGTTTAAAGTGCAAAGTTAAATATTATCTTACCTAATATACAATAACATATGAACTCAGAGTCCAATTTGTTGTGATCTTGAGATAGCATCGGGTTAATACATGTGTGTCTCCTGCTCCATTTCTTGATGACCCATTTGTTGTTCAATTTACTAGACATGATTGCCCTTAGTTTCCAAGGACAACATTCATTGCTATTAGGGCATTTGACAGACAAAACTCTTGGACCAGACTCAACAACAAAAATTTTTTGATGTGCATTCATAGAATAATGTTTAACAACCATTTTCACATCATTTTTTGTGTGAAAACGAAGCCCAATATACAGCTCGTCACCAACTCTCTAAGGTCGGGGACGAGGCAGAGGCCGTGGTTCGGGAGCTCGCACTAACCCACACCCGGGTTCCCAACAAAACACTAGCGGCGCAGTACAAGCCGA